AAACAGTATTTGAGACAGCTTCATATGCCGTCGCAAAAGACCACTTTTTGCGACGGCATACACGCCGTCGCAAAAAGTTCCATGTTATTTGCCCACTTTTCTTGTAGTGCTTATAGTTGCAATACCGTAACAAATTTGTTGAGGTGGTTCATTCGCAAAAGACCACTTTTTAGATACTATTCATTGAAAGAATAGATAATAAAAGATTTTTTTTAAACAAAATAGAGTTAGAATAGAAGTTTGTAATAGAAGTCTAATGGATAGTGTATTTAAAGAGATAGCTATATAAAATAAAAAATAAATTTTAAATTATAATTTAACAAAAAAATTGTTGAGTTTTATTTTTTTTAATAAAAATGCCGATTATCCAACCAATTTTATGCCTAATCAAAGGCAGACCCAAGTCCCTTATATAGCTTACAATCGTCTTGACATAGTCCAAGAATCAACCTTTTTTTTTTACTTATTGGCCGAAGGTTGCCATGTTCCAATCCACTCTTTAAGAGTTTTAAAACCCAAAACCCATTCCATTTAAGAAGCAAGAGAAATGTTCGGGACCCCTTTTTTGGGGGGTTTTATGATCTCCAATTTAATCTTGGCCTTTGATGTGTGGAGGTCCACTTATATATGTATGAGTCTCACATTATGAGTGGTTGGAATGAGAATGGGGTTGTGGGAATCTTTTTTGTGTGGGGTCTCTATCACAATTATACATCCCCACTGCACATTCCACCATTGTTAAAAGCATCTTTAAAAGCATCTTTGAAAGCATGGGAAATTGATTGAAATCTATTAAAAGCATCCTTAAATAAGTTTTTAAAAGATGGCAGTTCATTGTTATAACTAGTCTCATTTTATTTAATTTGTTATAACAGATTAGTTAATACAATATTTATTTTAATATTAAGAGAGACTCTTTAAATAGTTTGTTTAGATGAATTGATAAAATAAAAAGTAACGTTAAAATATATGGAAAAAAAAGGCTAGATAAATAAAGAGTGTACTTTTTTCTTTTTCTTTTTTAAATGAAAAGTAGTTTTGAATTTTCTCTTAGTGACATGAATTTATCATCTCTATTATGCATCTCATGGGTCATTCCTCTCTATATATACAAGGGATATCACAGCACGAAGTTGCAGTAAGAGCCTGGGAGAGAGAGAGAGAGAGAGAGAGAGAGAGAGAGAGAGAGAGATCATGGAAGCAAAACAAAGCACCATCTCAATTTTTATGTTCCCATGGCTAGCACATGGCCACATCTCACCCTACTTAGAGCTAGCCAAAAAGCTTTCAACAAGAAACTTCAAGATCTACCTATGTTCCACCCCAGTCAACCTCACTTCCATCAAAAGAAAACTCTCTGAAAAGTACTCAAACTCAATCCAACTAATTGAACTCCATGTACCACCATTGCCTGACCTCCCTCCGCCGTACCACACCACCAAAGACCTCCCTCCCCACCTCATGCCCACCCTAAAAAAGGCCTTTGACTCCGCCGAACCCATCTTCTCTCTCCTCCTCAAAACCCACAAACCAGACCTCCTCATCTATGATTTTCTTCAGCCTTGGGCTCCGGTGGTCGCCGCCGAGTATGGTATTCCGGCGGTGGACTTCATCACTAGCAGCGCCACTATGACCGCCTTCATGCACCACCTCTATAAAGACCCACTTATCACTTTTCCTTTTCCCTTGATTTATCTTCGTGATTATGACAAAGTAGAAGTATCCCATTTGCTCAATCCTTCGAAACACCTCGACAAGGACAAGACTCGCTGTTTCGAGTGCCTTGATCGATCATCGGAGATTGTTCTGATCAAAACTTTTAAAGAAGTTGAAGGAAAGTACATTGATTATCTCTCTGGTTTGGTTGGGAAGAAGATTGTGCCTGTCCCTCTTGTTCAAGACTGTGTCGACGACAACGATGAGAGCGGGATTATTGGGTGGCTGAACAAGAAGAAGCGGCGGTCCACAGTGTTTGTTTGTTTTGGCACCGAGTATTTTCTATCGGAGGATGAGATTGAAGAGATAGCTTATGGGTTGGAACTTTCTGGTGTTAATTTTGTATGGGTTGTGAGGTTTTCAATGGGAGCAAATACAAGTGTTGAGAAGGCAATGCCTAGAGGGTTCATTGAGAGCGTAGGAGAGAGAGGCATGGTGGTGGAAGGCTGGGCTCCTCAAGTGAAGATTTTGCTGCACCCAAGCATTGGTGGTTTTGTGAGTCACTGTGGATGGAGCTCAGTGATGGAGGGAATGAAGTTTGGAAGTCCAATCATAGCCATACCAATGCATCTTGATCAGCCTGTAAATGCTAGGTTGGTGGAGGAGATAGGGGTTGGCATGGAGGCTGTGAGGGACAAGAATGAGATGCTTGATCGAAAAAATGTGGCTGAGGTGATTCAAAAAGTGGTGGTTGAAGATGGTGGGGAGGCGGTGAGGAGCAAAGCAATGGAGTTGAGCGAAACCCTAAGTATCAAAGGGGATGAGGATATAGATGGGGTGGTGGAGGAGTTGGTGAGGCTTTATAACCAGAAAAAGAGAAAAGAGTAATCTGTTGGTACTGTTAGAATTCAAGTTTAGATGTTTTTTTAGTTTTCAGTCAAGTTATATTAGTTTCCATGGTTAGTATTTAGTTTTTAGGTCAAGTGGTTGCATATTTACGGGTCATTCTCTAATTGAAAGGGCACGTCATATGCGATATAAGTTAGAGCTATTAATTTTTTTTTCCATCCCATATGTGATTAGGCTTTAACGAAGAAAAAGGTGTCAAGAATTGTCAATCTTATTTATCTTGAATGCCCAAATATTTAATAAAAATTTGATCTTTTGTTATTGATTTTGACTTTATTTCATTTTATTTCTGTTTATTGGTTTGGTAAACAGCCACTTCTGCCATAAGGGTTGTGAATTATATGTACACATGTATGTGAAATTTGGTAAATAAAGTAAATCAATATACCAGGTACAAATTAATTTCCAACAACACAATTATTTTATTCTCACCCTCTCCTGCAATTCCATTAGCTTATTCTATAACAACTTGTTAAATTCTAGGAAAATTTTATAATGCACAACTTATCATATGTCCTAATTAAATCTTTATTTTAATTTTTCTGACTTTTTAATTTTTTAACTAAAATTGTTATTTTTTTTTTTCAAATACACCCCTTAGTCAAATATAGAGTATAAATGGATAATTGATTTGAATTGACACTAGAGATGGCTAAGGGACAAGTTTGTCATTTTCCGTATTTACCTTGCATCTTCTCAGGTAGAGGACAAATAATATAATATATTATAAAATAGTGATTTATAATTAATGAAAATCAAAAGATGTAAGATGAAAAAGAAATTAATGAAAACTAATAGTAAGGCCAAGTTTGGCAACTCTTAAAAAATTTAAAAATTCAAAAAGTCACTATCCTATTTAAATCACATCATCTTATTTAAGTCACATCACCTCTCTAACACATCACTTCAAACCCAATCCAAACCCAACCTATATTTCATAAAAAATCAAAAAGTACATTTATTTAGTTTTCCCAAACTTGACCTAAGTGTAATATTTTGTGTTTTAATTTTATCATTTTAAAAAAACTAAATGATATATATTATACAAATATATTCAATAAATATAAATAGGGTAAGAAAACCCAACATGGTCGAGTTAGGAAATGTAACGTTATGACCTTTTTTAACTTTATTTTCATAAATTTTCTAATTATTTAATTTTTAACACAAAATTAATAGAAAGATGCTCAATCAGTTTGCTACTTTGTCTTTTGTTGTAGCCTTAATAATAGATGACGACGATACGGGAAAAAATGATTATTAAAAAGATAAAAATAAATTACACTTTCTACTTTAGTATTTTAGGCTAAACTACAGTTGTTTTTTTTTTTAATTTTTAAAAAAATATAGGTAATTTTATAATTTTAATATAATTATATTGGTTTTTTTATGGTTTTAATAATAATTAGGTTATTTTTTATCAATAATTTGTTAGTCGCATGAATAAAAAATAAAATATTGGTATATTTTCAATTAAAATTTATATTTATCTTTATTTATTTTAATGTATTTATCATGTTTTAGTTTCAGTCACTTTAATATCATTAAAAAATGTCAATATAATTATATAAAGAGCCGTGTTACCGATCCTCAGTGGGGCGACCCCCACTGACAACCCCCAGTGAGGTGTCGCCTCCCCATTGGCTGAAAAAAAAATAATAATAATTTTTTTTTTTGCACCAATCACACGCGACCCCAGTACCTCCACTGGGGGTCGGAGGCTTTTTCCTTATATAAAACATATAAGGGTAATTGTATTATTTTTCAAACCTCAAAGACTATATTAAAATTTATTTTGGTCTTTACTTTTTTAATTTTAGTCGTCAATCTCTTATACTTTTGTCCGTTCACAATATAACCATTTTATTAATTTAATATTAAATTATTTAATAAAAATTGTCATATAACTCTCATATGATATCTTTTTCATAATAAAAACATAATTTATTTATTTTTCTTTTCTATTTCTCAATTATAACTCCATCATTTTTTCATAATCATTTTTTTCTACATTACTTACGGCTACTGCCCTTAATTATTATCGCCACCCACATCCCTTCACCACCTGCCTTGTATTATTTATCACTACATTTCTTTTGCCCAACAATTTTACTCTTTACTATTAACTAATGCCATCCATAGGTGGTGGAGAAATGACGAAACAGATTGAATAAAAAGTGATGTAGTTACAATATAAGAAAAAAGTTAAAGTTGATAGATATAACAAAATAAGAAATAAAAAGGAAATTGTATTTTTTACCTAAAAATACCTTATATTAGGGTCATATGACAATTTCTACTAACTAATTACCTAAAAATACCTTATATTAGGGTCATATGACAATTTCTACTAACTAATTAACAAAAGGACTAAAATAAAATTAGATAGGAAATGTAAGGGTATAAAGTGTAATTTACCGTATTGTGTTATCCATACTCCCCCAAATAGCTCCTTGTTAGAGCTTCCGGATTCCAATTGTGAGAAGTGAGAGAGAGAGAGAGAGAGAGAGAGAGGACAGCATCGATAAGTCGAGAACAAAAAAACATACAGAGAGCAAAGAGTAATGGTGGGGGAGATGTCAAAAGGACTAGTGGCGACTCAGACACAGAACCCAGTAGCTTAATTACAAGCCAAGTTCAAGGAATTGGAGGCAGGGTTCAAAGCATGGTTGGCCAAGCAGTCGTTGCCAATAGAGGCCGGCGTCGTCATCGCCACAAGGGCCGCCTAGGGCGCCGCCATAGGTGCTTTCATGGGCATCCTCACCAACGACGTCTCTTCTTCTTTCCCCACTCCTCCTCCTAATGCTACCTCTATGAATCACCAAGCCATGGCCTCTCTCCAGCAAGCCCAGGTTTTTTTTCCATCCTCACCCTTACCCTCCTAATTACTCATATATTACTTATTTTTCATGCATACCTATATATGTGTTTTTCTATTGCTGGCTTCACAAATTAGGTTTTGTGCCAAATTAGGGTTTTTTTTTTTTTTTTTTTTTAATTTAATTAAATTTATAATTTATAATTTATATTTTTTATTTAATATATAATTTTAAATGAACAACACTAAAAAAATAATTTTATTTAATATATAATTTTAATTTTTTTAAAAATTTAATTTATAAGGTCATAATTTTTAATTTAATTAAATTTATAATTTATAATTTATATTTTTTATTTAATATATAATTTTAAATGAACAACACTAAAAAAATAATTTTATTTAATATATAATTTTAATTTTTTTAAAAATTTAATTTATAAGGTCATAATTTTTAATTTAATTAAATTTATAATTTATAATTTATATTTTTTATTTAATATATAATTATAAATTAACAACACTAAAAAAATAATTTATAAATGTTCAAAAGATTATTTTATCCTTTTTCAATTGTTTACTAAGTAATAGTATGACGATAAAATAGACATTTCACACATTAGTCCCATATGATACTAATTTTATGGAAATAATCACCCCCCGCCCTAGGATTGTTTTGTCCCTCATATGAGGGATATGGAGTCTGGCGGACTAAAATTGCACCAAACGATGTGCATCTCCCTCCATTGAATAAGCAATTCGAATAATAAATAACCCCCCCTAATCCCTTGAATCAAACACACCCTACAATGCTTGAAAACTTGAGTAAAAGCTTACTCAAAATTTTACTCATTTGAATAAAAATTTGAGTAAAAGCTTTATTTGGTGTAAACCACCCAGTGGACATATTCAGATTTAAGTAACAGATTCAGTAAAAGAAAAAAAAATTAATAGATAATAACAGAGAAAAAAAAGTAACAAGATAATCAAAGCTGATACCCATCCTCACTAGGAGGATTAACAAGCCAAGGACGGCAAGTTCCCAAGTTTGACTTCCCGCCCCATGTAAAAGATTCAGTAATTGGAGAGTGGTAAATTTGAGAGCTACTAAATAGCCTTGAAAATTTTGATTAAACATTTGATTTGGGTAAAATTTTGAGTAAAACTCAATTTGGTATAAGTTTGGGACAATGGGTGGAGGGTGTTGTGAGTGATTTTTACCCAAATTTAAATTTGATATAGGTTTAAGTCAGGGATTGGAGATGCTAAGTGCTAGATTGATTTGCTGATTATATAATTTGGGGTCCTGTGCTTGTATCTGTTAAAATAGAGCAAACTTGGTTTTTGGTTGCTTGTTTTATGGGTCATGATAAGGATATTTCTATTTATCTGTTCATTTGTTGAAGAATCATTTAGGGCTTTGTTTGGTTTTATTTGGAATTGTATCTCATTTTGAATGTGGAATGGATGCTTCTGTTAGTCGAATTGAGAATTTTTAGGTATTCCAATCTAAGCATACATGCCCTGAATAAGTTGACATGTAGTGCAAACCTTTGGAAGTGGAATTAGGGCCTCTGGTTCTTATTCTAACATCTTGTTTCGGGCAACCCAAACTCAGCTTTTTGATGATGCAACTACTGTTTAATGTAGAAACTTACTTCTTGTGTAATTAACAAATGGTTTGTTTTGTTTATAGGTCCTAGCAGGGGTCCCTTTGTACAAGCACGCAATTTTGCTGTCATGACAGGTGTCAATGCCAGTATATCATGTGTCATGAAAAGAATAAGAGAGAAGGAGGATGTGCAGTCTAGGTAAGCTTATTTGAACCTTTTCTTTCCACCCTATTGTTTAGGATGTTTTTGGCTTATAGCTTATTCTTCAAAAGTTTTATGTAAAATAGTGGAAATAAAAATGAATGTAATCATCTATTTGCATATTGGTGGAAGATGTGGTTGGTTATTACTATTCATATTCAATGATTGATGCTAGGGAAAATGTTTTGATTTTCAAAAAGAATACATGAGAATACCAAAAAAATAAAAAATAAAAATAGATCTTTTTATAAAGAAGAATAATAGAAATTGTAATGGTCTGGTATCTAATATATGAATTTTCTTGCAAATAATAGATACTGAAGTGCACTGCCAAATTTGTTTAATCGCATTATTGCAATATTTCATAAGATATGGGCATTAATCTACCTAAAAAATATTCATCCAAAAAAATCAATCTAAAAAATAATTAACAATTATCGTATCCTTGATTGTCATAACATCATCAGTATTTGGCTCCTTAATATTTGGATATTAATCATTGGGATTATTGCATTGCAAATTTTTTATTTTTTTTTTGTACTACATGATGAAGGATATCTATATTTGTTTTGGGCTTAAAGCTTATTCTTTATGTTTTTATAGTATGTGCCAACCATTTAAAAGGAGTGATTCTAACGTAAAATGGTAGTTGAAAGTAGTCATCTATTTGTATAATGGTGGAAGATGTGGTTACTACTATTGAAATTCATTTATTGATTGTAGGTAAAAAGTTGTCACAAAGCAACTCTAACCCTTTTTGTTTCCCTTGCAGATTCTTACTTGTAAATACAATATATAGCAGTGTCTCTTTCCTGTAACTGATTATCAACCTTGGTTTTAAATAATAGTATTCGATCAGTTCATATCAAATAGTATTGGTCAAAATATTGACATTGCAATTTCAAAATCTCGATTTATTTAGAACCCTACTACTAACCCATTCCTGAAAAAGAACAGGGCATTGGAATTTGGAACCATAACCCACTTTTCTCTACCCCAAAATGTTTATATAACATCACAATGGATGCTCTTGATGTTCTTTCTTGTCAAATCATTCCCAAATAACTCATTTGCCTCCACATTTACTGTCACTAACAATTGCCCACAAACAATCTGGCCTGGAGCACTTGTCGGTTTAGGGACACTGCAACTTTCGACAACAGGGTTCAAATTGGACTCTGGCCAAAGTGTCAAAATTTCAGCATTTCCAGGGTGGTCAGGTTGGATATGGGCAAGGACAGGGTGCAAATTTGATGAGTCAGGGATGGGTATGTGCCAAACAGGGGATTGGGGTGGGAGGCTGGAGTGTGATGGCGTTGGAGCCGCACCACCTGCGTCTCTCTTTGAGATCACGATGGGCAACGTTGCCAATGAGAAAGACTTCTATGATGTCAGCATTGTGGATGGTTATAATCTTCCTCATTGTTGCCCCACCGGATGTGTTTCAGACCTCAACACAGGTAATTAAAGATTTTTTATTTTTTATTTTTTCGTAAAAAAGTAGGATCTGGTGATTAGAGCGTGAAAATTCTTCCTGGGCGTGACAATAGGAGCTCTTATATACTGGAAGTCGGACAAAAGTGGCCTAGATGGGCCTGAAAACATAGGATTTGCTGGGGATATATGCAAGTGTTCCCTAAATAGAGGCCAACTCAAAGTCTGATCCCAATCCTATGGTTAGATTGGCCTAGATGAACCTGAAAACATAGGATTGTTGGGGATATATGCAAGTGCTCCCTATATAGAGGCTAAGTCAAAGTCTGATCCCAATCCCATGGTTAGATTAATTATTCAATCTCCTTGGCACACTATGTTGATAGTGTGCCTGTCCAATAGTAGGGGTATAACTTTGCATGACCACACACGAAAAAAAGAAAAAAAGAAAAAAAAAAGAGGGAAATCACAAAACATTGTTTAGGCACAACTATGTAGTGTTATAAGAAGATTGAATAATTTCTGCTACCAAGATTATAGTGGCATGGAGCAACGCCTCAGGCTTAATGGGCATGAATCTTATGCTTCAAACAACTATGTATAGACTTTCGACCTCCTTTCCTCCAAACCACCTGACCACCATCCTCAAATGTGTCACAAATTGTGAAACACTTAATTAGGATCGGTGGGACACAAAAATAGAGAAGAATAAAAAATATAAATTGTAAATCACACACATACTACAATGCAATATAGGGTTACATTTGCAGTCACTATGATTCATGGTTGTCTTGTTGATGATGCTCAAGTAGTACTGTTGTAAATAAAAACTTTGCAGGTTGCCCAAAAGAGCTTCAGGTGGTCGATGGGGACAATAGTGGAGTAGGAATGGTTGGATGCAGGAGTGCATGTGAGGCATTTGGGCTAGACCAATATTGTTGCAGTGGGGAGTTTGCTAACCCAACTACTTGCAGACCCTCTTCTTATTCCACCATGTTCAAGACTGCTTGTTCGAGAGCTTATAACTATGCATTTGATGATGGTACCAGCACTTTCACTTGCAAGGCTTCCGATTATACCATCATCTTTTGCCCTAATCTTGCTTTTGGGTACGTAAATCTTCAGGTTTTTTTAAAAAATGTTTGAAATTTGAACCTATCTTATAAATTTAAACTTGGTAGGGTGCACTACAATGAATTTGATCCACTAATAATATTATAATAACCACATTTATGCATTATCATATGATATGTTTGTACTGTGTGGGTGAAAGACAGTGGCATGTCCCGTTAAACCAATGTAATAGTAAATATAATTTGATACATAAATACTATCGTCATAACATTATTTTTGATCCACACATTTCAAATTCTAAATGATTATTTTTTTTTTTTTGGAGTTAATTACTACTTCAAAAGTTATAATCAACCATTACACTTTCTAAATTTTTTTTCCTTCGTAGTAGGGCAAAATTTATCTTGGCATGAATGCAGGAAGAAGAGATCAAATAGTGTAATACCAATACCTACTCCACTAATGGTCCAATTTCAACACACTATTAATAGAGAGATCTCAGACATGGTTTCTTCCTCAAACATTCTTTGGCCCATTCCATTACTGTCAATAATCATTATAATATTTGTTCTTACAAAAATAATGTTATATAAACAGAATTTGTATATAAAAATTTCATTTAGTATGATATATCACATTTATATTTATACTCATTTGTAAGTTTAAATGTCTATCATGATTCGTAATTATAAGAATACTATTATCACATTATTCTGGTCTTAAATTCTATTTGTATATCATTTTTCTCAACTAAAACACGTATTTTCTTAGTGCATTGTTCCAAGATTCTTTTCTTCAATTCAGTAACAAAAAAAAATATATATATATATTTAATTTTTAATTTTGTTTCCAACAATAAGAATCTCACTCTCTTAACAATTGAGGATTATAGAGTAACATTAAAAACCCGTAAAACATCTATGCTAGATTTACTTATGTGATAAACGTGAATCTTATTATTTTTTAAATAGATTAATAAATGATATGCAACAGTGTAGTTGGTCAGTCAATATGGTGGGTGTTTGGGAAGTTGTTATTTTAGTAGGTTATTTTAGTTTTTGGTTATTTTGGTAGGCTAAATTTTGTATTTGGGAAGATCATTGAATTTTTTTATAGTTAGATGTGATATTTGTGAGAGAAAAAATAAAATAATTATGAATTTGATGTGACATTTTGTCTTATTAACTATTTTAAGCTATTTTATCTTTTTCTAAGTTCTAGCAAAAAAAAAAAAAAAAAAAAATCTAACTTGCCAAACACCCCATGGTCATTCCCTTCTGACATACTTTTTATGGGCGCTTTTCCCCCTTTTAGGCCTAAAGGAGGAGATAGGGGATTGGGTTTTTGATCTTGGGCCTAAACTTCGGGCCTATTCCAGTCAACCCAACTTTATGATTTTTACTGTCCTATAGCTCCAGATACCTTTGAAGCTTGGGTAACCAGCTTGGGGTATGATAGAATATCACCCCCTATTTATAAATGAAGATTAGGGTTTACAAGAAAGGCAATTACAAGATGATCCCTGAGGGCATAAAATGATTACAGACCCTAGTGTAACTTTCGGCTAATATAATATGCTAACACTTTCGGCTAATATAATATGCTAACAACCTTAACAAATTTGTTGAGGTAGTACATTGGCTATTTAATAATTTAACATTTTTTTTTTGGGTACTATTCATTGAAGATAGTAAAAGATTTTTTTTTAATAAAATAGTCATAATAGAAGTTTGTAATAGAAGTCTAATGGATAGTGTATTTAAAGAGATAGCTATATAAAAAATATAAGAAAAAATTTTAATTATAATTTAACAAAAAATTTGTTGAGTCTTACTTTTTGTATAAAGGATGCCAATTATCCAACCAATCTTATGCCTAATCAAAGGCAGACCCAAGTCTCTTATAGCTTAGAAATCTTCTTGACATAGTCCAAGAATCAACCTTTTTTTTTACTTCTTGGCCAAAGGTGTCCAAGCATAGTTGCTTTGTTCCAGTCCACTCTTTAATGCTACGTTTGGTTAAGAGATTTAGGGAGGGATTTGAAAAGGAAAAGAAAAAATGTGTATAAAATTAGGTATATTTTATTTACATTTCACTTAATTTTTTCCTTTCCCTTTTCAAATCTCTCCTTAAATTTTCTAACCAAACACAACGTTAGAGTTTTAAACTCCAAAACCCATTCCATTTTTGGAGCAAATACATTCCCACTGCACATTCCACCCTTCCTTGTTGCAACAAATGAGGATACCATGGAAACTTATTGGAATCTATTAAAAGCCTTTAACAATTTTTTTAAAAGAAGGCAGTTGATTATTATAACTATTCTCATTTTATTTAATTTGTTATAACAGATTAGTTAATACAATAATTATTTTAATAATAAGATAGACTCTTTAAATAGTTTGTTCGGATGAATTGGTAAAATAGAGAGTAATGTAAACATATATGAAATAAAAAAAAAATGACTAGATAAACAAAGTGTACTTTTTTCTTTTCTTTTTTTTAAAAATATTTTAGCTAGTTAAAAATAAAAAGTGGTTTTGAAGTTTCTCCTAGCTCAATTTGTAGGAAGTGGATTTGAATAAAATTTCAAAATCCACTCAGCGTAGCACCTTTGAAACATATTTCCACAGCTCGTGACTATTGAAGGAATGACTTTCGATAATTTTATCAAACATAAAAATAAAAAATAAAAAAGTTTTCAAAAGAATTTTTATACTTGGGAAGGATTTTGAAAAGTGGCTCCAAACAAAACCTATAGATTTTCAAGCCATAATTGGTATCTTATTAAAAAGGCATAGTAGAAATTCCAAGGAAAATTACGCTTTTTTTTTTAAGTGTTAATAATTACATCAGAAGATGGGAATGTGAACTGTTATTTATGGAAAAAATATGGAATTTGAAAGGCAACCGTGACAAATCTTACCAAAAATAGACACAGATCTTTTGTCTCCATTTTCAAACACACTCCAATTCACGATTAAAAATTAATTAGTTGTGCCAATTCTTCATTAAAAATTAGTTACTTTTGACATATCGTGTGACATGATCCCACTCCAATATTAAGCATTAAAGATCCGATTATTACCGTGGGAAATTTTTAAGCTTCGAATTCTGTTAAAGATTCACAATGGTAGAAATGATTTCATTCATTTTTGGGAATTTTGTGCTTGTTTTTATTCATGTTCCTTTATTTTTTTCATGACTTTAGGGGGGGAAATTAAGTTAAGTTTACATCAAACATAAAAAATTCATAATTGCCGCCATGATTTTTTTTTAACTTAATGATTTTGTGCATGCTCTTTTAATTTTCTCCCTTACAGATATATATAAATGAATTTTTTATTTAATACACAAAAATATGGGTTCCACTAAACATTTGTGTCTAATAGAAAAAATCATATGAAAAATCTGTTTTTTCTTTTATTTTAGGGTTTAGGGTTTGTACAATCATTCCAAAAATAATATTAAAGAATATAGAGACCCGATTATTCCTATGAGAATTTTTGGAGCTTAAAATTCCATTTGGAAGGAAAAATAAGAAGCATGGTGTATTGATAAAGAAAGGTTAAATATACATACTAGCATTCCATTTTTCTTTTTAACCCAATAAAATCCATGAGTTGATTTTCTCCTTGCTTGTAGGGGGACTCACTACAAGAAAAAACACATTTGGCGATTAAATTTTTAGTCGCCAAAAGTCGGTTTTTAAGTTTCCCCGACTAAATTTTTTAGTTACCAGTTTGGTCGCCGGAAGACGGTCGGGAAAGGTATTGGCGACTAAAAAACTTTTAGTCGCCAAAAAGCAAGTCTTTAGCGACTAAAACTTTGGTCGTCAATAGTTAATTATATTTTTTAAATTATACATTTACTGACCAATGTTTTAGTCGCCAATACTCAAGGAATCGGCGGCCAAACCTTTTAGTCGCCAAAAGCTAATTCGTGAAAAAAAAAAATTACACTCACTAGCTTCTCATCTGCTTACTCAAGGAATCGGCGAACGAACCTTTTAGTCGCCAAAAGGTCATTCGTGAAAAAAAAAAAATTACACTCACTAACTTCTCATTTGCTTTTGTAGAGATTCAAACCATCAACCTCCCACACCATAAACCTTATATAACATACTCTTTCTACTACACCTCTATAACACTATATGATTATGTACGCAACGAATATTATTTATATAGTACATAGACCCGTATTAATATAAAAATATATATATAAAGATAATTATTTTTTATTGAACATAATTTATGTAAAAATAAATTATTTACTAGAAAAAAAAAGAGACCACTTTTGGCGACTAAATATAATTTTAGTCACCAATTCTATACTTTTGGCTACTAATTATTTTTTAGTCGTTAAAAAATTTAAATCCCGCGCTAAAATTACCACTTTTGGCGACTAAACTTCTTTTTAGTCACCAAAAAGCTTCACTTTTGGCTACTAAATTATTTTTAATCGCCAAAATGCCTTACTTTTGGCTACCAAAATTTTTTTAGTCGGTAGAAGCCTCACTTTTGGCTACCAAACGCCTTTTTAGTCGCCCAATGCCTCACTTTTGGCTTCTAAATTTTTTTTAGTAGCCAAAAAGCCTTACTTTTGGTTACTAAATTTTTTTTAGTCTGTAAAAGCCATATATCGGCGACTAAACAGATTTTTAGTCTCCAAAACCTATACTTTTGGCTACTAAATTTTTTAGTCGCCAAAAACTTTACTTTTGACTACTAATACTTTTTTAGTCGCCAAAACCTATACTTTCAGCGACCAAAGGTGCTTTTTTAATCGCTATAGAGGCTTTTTCTTGTAGTGACTATCAATGAAAAAACGGAAATCAAACTCAACAAATTAAGCCAATTTTAATTACCATTTATTGTCTTGTTGATCTTTTCCATGGTTACTTGATTATTGTTCCTTAAACGTAAAAAGTTTCAAAAAAATTGCTATGTCTTTTTGTCCCAAAATAGCTACAACTTTTAAGTAATGTAAGAATCTCAATATATGAAAATCTTCAAACATAATTGAAGAGTTTTCAGTGTTCAAAGACAAGAAATACAAAGATTCGAAAATCCAAGGATTTGAGAACAGAAGATCTCGGGTGGAGCTTATGGGTTGGAGCTACAACCTTTAAGCCATGTTGATATAGCTTATGGGTTGGAGCTTTCAGCTTTCTGGTATTCCAAGGCTATCGGCGGCGACCACCGGGCTCCAACATGCATTATCAACATGAATATATTATGGGTTGGAGCTTTCAGCTTTCTGGTATTCCAAGGCTATCGGCGGCGACCACCGGAGCCCAAGGCTAAAGAAAATCATAGATGAGGAGGTCTGGTTTGTGAGTTTTGAGGAGGAGAGAGAAGTTGGGGTCGGCGGAGTCGAAGGCCTTTTTGAGGGTGGGCATGAGGTGGGGAGGGAGGTCTTTGGTGGTGTGGTATGGCGGAGGGAGGTCAGGCAATGGTGGTACATGGAGTTCAATTAGTTGGATTGAGTTTGACTACTTTTCAGAGAGTTTTCTTTTGATGGAAGTGAGGTTGACTGGGGTGGAACATAGGTAGATCTTGAAGTTTCTTGTTGAGAGCTTTTTGGCCAGCTCTAAGTAGGGTGCGATGTGGCCATGTGCTAGCCATGGGAACGTAAAAATTGAGATGGTGCTTTGTTTTGCTTCCATGATCTCTCTCTCTCTCTCTCCCTCAAGGCTCTTACTGCAACGTTGTGTTGTGATATCCCTTGTATATATAGAGAGGAATGACCCGTGAGATGTATAATAGAGATGATAAATTCATGTCACAGATATGAGGGCCTAGTTTGGTTTGTTTCTGAGAAATAAATTTTGAATTTTTTTTTGAAAATTTTATTTGGTTTAGTGATTTTGGAAATTATTTTTCCAAAATCATTTTCTATCTCCTACACATCAATCAATCACTTTTTTCTCTCTGTTCTCGCCTTTTCAATCTTTTTTTCTCTCTCACATACATCTATTCAACTCAAGGTTCTGAAAAGCGGTTGCGGTCGCCGTAACGGTGGCGGTGACGCGGTTGTGGTTGTGGGGTGTAAAGGCCGTAGTGTAACGGTTGCGGTAACCGGAACCGTGAATTTTTTTTTTTTTTTTTTTTGAAAATTTATCTCTTAAAATCAAACCAAACACACCCGAGATCTTCTGTTCTCAAATCCTTTGATTTTCAAATCTTTGTATTTTCTTGTCTTTGAACACTGAAAACTCTTCAATTATGTTTGTAGATTTTCATATATTGAGATTCCTACATTATTTAAAGGTAGTAGCTATTTTGGGACAAAAAGACAAGCAATTTTTTTGGAACTTTTTACGTTTAAGGAACAATAATCAAGTAACCATGGAAAAGATCAACAAGACAATAAATGGTAATTAAAATTGGCTTAATTTGTTGAGTTTGATTTCCGTTTTTTCATTGATAGTCACTACAAGAAAAAGCCTCTGTATCGATTAAAAAAACACCTTTGGTCGCTGAAAGTATAGGTTTTGGCGACTAAAAAAGTATTAGTAGCCAAAAGTAAAGATTTTTGGCGACTAAAAAAATTTAGTAGCAAAAAGTATAGGTTTTGGCGACAATCTGTTTAGTCGCCGATATATGGCTTTTACCAACTAAAAAAATTTTAGTAGCCAAAAGTAAGGCTTTTTGGCTACTAAAAAAAATTTTGTAGCCAAAAGTGAGGCATTGGGCGACTAAAAAGATGTTTGGTCGCCAAAAGTGAGGTTTTTACCGACTAAAAAAATTTTGGTAACCAAAAGTAAGGCTTTTTGGCAATTAAAAATAATTTAGTAGGGCTATGAAGTATTAGCGACAGCACTGTGTACCGTCGCAAAAAATATTTTTTTTGAGACGGGTGAAATTTACCATCGCAAATAGTGGACATTTGTGACGGGAATGCTCTGTCGCAAAGAAAAAACCCTTAATAAAACGATGTCGTTTTATAAATGGATTTGATCATTTGTGACGGTTTTGCCATGCCGTCGCAAATAGTCTGAAATTTCATCTCCCTCCTTAACCCGAAATGGCGCTCGATCAAATTCCCTAAAATCCCCAAAATCCCTAACACCATTCTCCCTCAAAACCCCCCAAATCCCTAAATCCCCAAAAAAATTGTGTGCGCTTGAGTTGTGACACCAAGAAAAAATTGCCAGCATTCCTAATAAATAATAAATGTTTCAATTAAGATCTCAAAAACAATAAATGTTGAAAATATGCTGCGGATTATTTTGATAACCTTGAGTGTCCTCCACTGCAATTAATATACATTGATGTCCTACAGCCGCCTCATCTTTGATTAATGTTGTGGTCTTCAAATTTTCATAGTAAGTTTGTGAAATGAATGATACATTTCAGTTAATATATGGAAATATATTTCTGTGATTCTGATATTTGAAGTTGTTGATGTGACAGGGTTGCAACTTAGTTGTACAAAGAGATAACAAAAGATTCCTTTTCCTTGATATACTTACATTGGAATGTCCAGGTGAGCCTCAGCTAAAAATGGTTCCTTCTAAACCTTAACCCACTTTTTTTTATCTGTCCGAACTTTGGTAGACTTAATTACTTGATTACTTGACTATTTGGAAAATTAACTCACGTGGAGAATCAGTGGGCATTACAAAGTAACCATCTTAGCTCAGGATGTGTATTTCAAACAGTGTTTCAGGCTCCAACACCACAGTGTCTACCTTTTGTTTTTCTGTTAGACAATTAGCAAATTCTGCTTTGTGTTTTCAGCTATGGATTGTTGGGACAAATAGAGGCATCCAATTTCATATAGTTTATATGAGAAATCATGGATGTTGAAGGTACTTTACTTAAAATTTTACCTACACATCTGATGAATGCCCTTTCTATTTGTGTTAGACAATGTAGTAGTAACTTCCCGTCCCTTAGCTATAACTATAATTCGTTGTTTGATTGTAGGACTACATACAAGGCATCAGAGCAGCTTATACTAAAGATTTTGTCAGTAAGGATATCACAAGGCGGCAAATAGCAGTTGCCACCTATCTTATTGATAAACTAGCTCTCAGGGCAGGCAATGAGAAGGTATGGTGTATGTAACTGTTTTCATCATGTTTATGTTTATCTTTTACTCTCTTGTTCGTGGAACATCCTCTTTCTTTTTCCTCCGAATGTAGAAGCATAGTTGAGAATCTGACAACATGTAATTGGTTAAGACTCTGTTGGATGGGGTGGACAACCTTCTCTGTGGAGGAAACATAGTGATGCGGATCATCTTACAGATGCTAATAGTGTTTTATTTACTTTATATAGATGCATGCTTTAATGTATAAACACATGTATTATGTATATATGATGAGTCCTCTGCGATCTTGCTCAGAAAGTAAATAGAAACATAACAAAAAAAACGAAACAAGTTTTGGAGCCTTTATTCATATAATTGTTTCGATCTTGCAGGGTGATGATGAAGCTGATACCGTTTGTTGCTGCACATTGAAAGTAGAAAATGTAAAACCAATGCCTCCAAATATTCTGAAGGTATAATGGCGTTTATGTCTCAGATAGCAAGGTTTTAAACCTTAACTTACAATTGGATTTGGTTATAATAATATTTGTGAGTTTGGTGGGTTATTATATTGAGATTTTGAAGTTTTAAATGACTAGATAGGGGACTGCATGATGTGAAACTGGAATCAGTTTCTGGAATATTTTGAACCTATTAGAAACATGTAACAATACAAAGGTTTTTCGTCGACTGCAATTAATAACAAATCAATATCTTTTCTGGTTTTCTAGTTTGACTTCCTTGGTAAAGATTCAATTAGATACCAAAATGAGGTTGAAGTTGAACTTCCTGTGTTCAAGGTAATTCAGCAGTTCTGAACTGGTTAGTGGATGCGTGGCCTTTTGTATCAAAATATCTCTTTCTGCATTTCATGATAAAGACATGCTCACATGACCTTATTTTTCTACAGGAAAAAGTGGCAGCGATGATCTTTTTGACAAGCTGGATACCAAAAAACTAAATGCTCATCTGAAGGAACTCATGCCTGGTCTCACAGCAAAGGTTTTCCGTACATATAATGCATCTATAACTTTGGATGAGATGGTAAGAGGCAAGCTGGGATTTTTCACACCTTGAAGTTAGTATTTTTCCTGTGAATATGAATTTACTATGTTAACCAAACTTTTGGTACACATGGGAGTGTTTGTGTTGGTGATTGGATTGTCTGACCATCAACTTTTGGTACACATGGGAATATGGGACCCGGCCAAATAGTTGTACTGGTGCTTATTTGAAAGGTGGTACTAGGGTGAAGTAATAAAAAATCAATAAATGTGGGCTATCTAACAAAACATATTGGAAATACGATTTTGAAATATAACAAATAGTTGTTGTCATTTGACATTATTGAAAGTAGAAATGGTTTTTAACAAATAATTGCTGTCATTTGACAGTAATGAACTTGATATGCATTGGCAAGATAACTCAACTCAACTTACCAAACTTTAATCCCAATTATTTGACCTGCAGTAGGACGTGGTGGTAATATGACGTTATGGTTAAACCAATTTACATTTTTGTTGATTAAATTTCATGATGATGAAGGCTATATATGGTTTGTAGATATAGTAGTCTGAAACATGGAGTAGTCTATGCAATGAATAACATAACTTAAGCAGTTGTAGTGAGCACGTGATTTATTATTTTTTATTTATTTATAAAAAAACATGTTTGTCTTTGCGATTTAAAAAAGTTTTATATTGAGGGGATTCATTTATTTAAAAAACATGTTTTATCTTTGCGATTTAAAAAGATAAATGTTTTATCTTTGCGATTTAAAAAAATTTTGGCATTTGTTTTTCTGTTGGCATTAGCAAGAAAGGGTATTAATTCAAACATTTTTTTGTTTGAATTAATACCAAACAAACACACCACCGCCAGAAAATCAGGTATAAAATGTATCTTTACATTCTAAGCTAAAATGTATCTTTGCATTCTCTGCATTTTAAGCTAAGAGACTTGTGGGAGAAGACAGGACTCAAATCGGGTTCCCGGATTGGGAGTTAGAGTTGGATTTCACTTTAGGCAAACTAATTCCTTAAGAAACTTGAATTCGAGGTGTTGACGCCCCAAAATCACCAAACGGGGTCGGATTGGCACAAAACTTGGCACACACGACCGTCTAGGCACAAGAGACTTGTGGGAGAAGACGTGGCTCAAATTGAGTTCCCGGTTTGTGAGTTAGAGCCGTATTTCGGTCTAGGCAAATTAGTTCCTTAAGAAACTTGAATTCGAGGTGTTGACGCCCCAAAATACCAAACGGGGTCAGATTGGCACGAAACTTGGCACACACGACCGTCTAGGCACGAAAGACTTGTGGGAGAAGACGTGACTCCAATCGGGTTCCCGGTTTGGGAGTTAGAACCGTATTTCGGTCTAGGCAAACTAGTTCCTTAAGAAACTTGAATTTGAGGTGTTGACGGACCAAAATCACCAAAAGGGGTCAGATTGGCACGAAGCTTGGCACACACGACCGCCTAGGCACGAAAGACTTGTGGGAGAAGACGGGGCTCGAATCGGGTTCCCGGTTTGTAAGTTAGAGCTGTATTTCGGTCTAGGAAAACTAGTTCCTTAAGAAACTTGAATTCGAGGTGTTGACGCCCCAAAATCACCAAACGGGGTCGGATTGGCACGAAACTTGGCATACACTACCGCCTAGGCACGAGAGACTTGTGGGAGAAGACGGGGCTCGAATCAGGTTCCCGGTTTGGGAGTTAGAGCCGTATTTCGGTCTAGGCAAACTAGTTCCTTAAGAAACTTGAATTCGTGGTGTTGACCCCCCAAAATCACCAAACGGCGTCAGTTTAGCACGAAACTTGGCACACACGACCACCTAGGCATGAGAGACTTGTGGGAGAAGACAGGACTCCAATCGGGTTCCTGGTTTGGGAGTTAGAGCCGGATTTCGGTCTAGGCAAACTAGTTCCTTAAGAAATTTGAATTCGAGGTGTTGACCCCCCAAAATCACCAAACGACATCGGTTTAGCACGAAACTTGGCACACACGACCGTCTAGGCACGAGAGACTTGTGAGAGAGGACGGGACTCCAATCGGGTTTTCGGTTTGGGAGTTAGGGCCAGATTTCTGTCTAGCCAAAATTATTTACTAAACTATCTTTGTAATTATATAGTAGTTAATTTTTTATATTTTTCTGTAATTAAAATATTAACACCATTATATTGTCATTAATTATTTTTATTTTATTATTTTCAGATATTTCCTGAGTAGCAGTTTGCTTCTTGTGGAATGCGGGCATGTAAAGATTATGACCAACTTTTGTTTTTGTAACCCACGAAAGAATCATAACGAAAACTTTTGGTTTTGATTTACGTTATTTAGATTTGTGAACAACATTATGTATGTATTATGCGACATTATGTAGTGGGATAATTTTTATTGTTATGAATTTTTATTTATGTATTGTTATGAATGGAACAACATTATGAATTTTCATTATGTGCCAACTTTTGTTTATGTATGTATATTATGTATGTAACGTTTTGTAGGAGGCTTGTTACAGTCCAGAGTCGTCAAAAGAGTTATGCCAACCGTAGGAGGAGACTGTTGGTATTTGAGGTGGGTGATCGTGTTTTCTTGAAAATATCACCCAGGCGGGGTTTGATGAGGTTTGGTAAGAGTGGGAAGTTGTCCCCTCGGTTTATTGGTCCTTTTGAGATCCTTGAGAGGATTGGCGAGGTTGCCTACCATTTGGCTTTGCCGCCGCAGTTGTCCGGAGTGCATGATGTGTTTCATGTTAGTATGCTTCGGAAGTATGAGCTGGATCCGTCACATGTATTGGATTGGACCGACTTAGAGGTAGATGAGGATGCCTCGTATGAGAAGAGACTGGTTTGGGTCTTGGATAGGCGGGATCAAGTCTTGCGAGGCAAGACCATTCCCTTGGTAAAGGTTTTGTGGAAACATCACGGAGTGGAGGAAGCCACTTGGGAGCGTGAGTTGGAGGTCCGAGAGAAATATCCGCACTACTACAAAAACAGTTAAAGATCACACTTTGACAAATAAAGATATCTCACTTCTATTGAAAGTGCGATAAAAAAAATTAGATTGATATTTTAATCACACTTAATTTGATTGAGTGTGATAATATTTATTTTTTATGTCACTTTTCAATTAAGTGATTATATATATATTTTTTAATCACACCTTCTAAATAAGTGTGATTATATATAATTTTTTTAATTACAACTTTTGCGTAAGTGTGATCAATACAGTGATCAATATATATTCTAAAAAATAGTTCAAAATCCCCAATTTTTCCAAATTTCCTCAAACCCTTTGCCGCATGTAATTTCTTTTTCCCTCTTCTCTCATTTTCATGTTCAAATCTCTATCTATCTCTCTCTCTCTCTCTCTCCATCCCCATCTCAATCTTCGCGCTACTCATCTCACTATCATTCCGACTCCTCCATAGGCAAGAGCTCGAATCTGCAGAGCATCAATGTTGAAGCACACTATAATATAAGAAACTAGGGATTCTAGAGAACTTGAATTTGCTGAGCAAGTTGTTGGCCTCGTAAACCTTAACATTGGTATGTATTTTCTTCTCTCTCTCTCTCTCTCACACGCACACACTTTATTTATTTATATTTTATTTTTTTTATCTTCAAGGCTTGAATCTCATTCTCTAGGTCGACGGCCCTATGTGATCTCCAAATTCGCTCTTAATCTCCAAATCCCTCAAGTAAAAGCTCCCTCATTTGTTTCATGGTTTATATATGTGTTTGCTTAATTTACTCTTTGAATTTCTTCTTTTCACCTTCATTTTTGTTCTACATCTATTCTTTATCTTTTATTACATTCACTAAACTTGATTGAATTCGTTGTTACTGTTTGTGTGTGTATATAATATATATATATATATATATATATATGTCAATTTGTGGTGATTTGTGATTTTGTGTTTTTGATTTAGGGTTTTCATCATTCCATTATAAAAAAATTTTGATTAATTCCTATGAAATTTTTATCCCAATATTTGTGGAACTAGTTCCCCTCCCACCCCTCTTGCCCTTTTGATTTAGGGGTTTCATGATTTTGTTTTCATTATAAAAAAATTTCGATTAATTTCTTTTTGGAAGATTTACGATCAATTTGGCTCACTCAATGAAAATCAAAGTAAAATTATTAATTGCACAATTCTAAAATTATTACTCCCTCAAATGAGTTTACAGTGTAAATTGTAACTGTTACTCCCACAAATGGGTTTTATAGAGTTACTTCCATATAACCTAAAATTTTGCATATCATAGTATTGTTACCATTTTCAAAGTTTTGTAATTGTTTTATGTTTTCATTATTTTTTTATTCAGCAGTTTTATATGTGCTTGATTTCATGAAGTAGTACATATATTTATGTATTTAATTATTTGTGTTTTATATGGTCTTTGAAGAATTTCTTCAATTGCTACTAAATTAATCAGTTGAACATTTGCTTTTCAAGTGTTTGTCTATCCAATATCCATCATACTTGTAGAGCTTGGAAGGCTCAGCTTAATTAATCGGAGTTGAGTGAGTTGATCAAAGTGAGATTGGCTTTGTTGTTCAAGTATAATATGAAGCAAGTTGATTACTCTGTTATGGACTTGGTGTATAGACTGAAATCTATTAAGGATTGTGCTCGGTTATAGCATCTTGAATGGAAGCATTCTTATTGTGGAGTGCTTGTATAGCTTTGATGTGGGTGTAGGCTTGGTTCTTAGTTTTTCTTTGTTTGCTGAATTGGGCTATATATGGTGCACTCATTGTCCAACCCATTAATCATAAGTTTGACCACTCCTATGTGACAAGGTCAGTTAAAATTATATGCATTTTTGCATATGAATAACAAAATAATCATTAACATATCAATTGTATAGACTTGCCGGGGCAAGTGTTCCATTAATCGAAGGAAATTTTAGTTGGTCTATAAAATAAATTATATGATACAGTAATTTATGATCAAATCCCAACCATAGTTTTATGTGTATATATATATATATGAAGACCCATGTGGTTTGCTGTTATCTTCACAGTGCAGCCTTTGTAAGGCTATCACTAATCCTTGTAATTGTATTTTTTTTCCATTGTTTTGAGTGAAAATTTAGTTAAAACCTTGATTTGGTAGGGAGCACTATAATCTGTTGCTCATTCATAAAATATTTATAAAAAATTCTCAACTTATCCCCAAAAACATAGTTAACCAATTAAAAAAAAATTATATGATAAAGGATTTGCTTCATCCTTGATTTGTAGAAGTTTGATGGAAGTATTGGAGCTCATTGTTGCATACCCGAGAGGATATTGACACTTGATGCTTCCTTAATTGTGATTGGTTAAGACACCACCAGGGTCTATCATATGTGGGAGACAACATGGGTATAGTCATTTGTGATTGGTCGAACCTGGTGGCACCATCCACACCCACTAACTTCTACATTTTAAAACCATTTTTTCATTAATTGTGAATTGATAAATGATTGGAGATGCCCCAAGTTATTTTGAACATGTGGGGAGTAGAGCCCGCTTCATTGAAAGGGCACTTTTAACTGCATCTTTAGTGTTAGTCTATTAGGTACGTGAAATTAAATGTTGTGTGCATTTTTGTTTTTATCGAGTGCCTGTTTAAACTGTATCAACATGTCCCTTGTGCATTGCATTTTCATTTTTTTTCTTACTGGGATTTGGGATGTCCCTTTCAGACCTTACATCGTTTCATCTCACATATTATTTTTAAATTTTGTAGCTTCCCTGGAAAAGCTGCTGGTGTGAGAATAGCCGGCCAAGGTGCTCCAATAGAAGCTGCTCCAGCCAAGAAGGTTTGTATCAAAATCCATTTTAGTTGTTTATTTGCGTGATCCTGTTTTCTATACAGAGGGCACACATTCATATTTGGACTTTTTAAATACTTGTGTGACTATATGCAATTATGATCTTGCCATAATGTCGTTATTATAACTTAAAATATGATGCTGACGTAGTGGTATTGTGAATTCATCGTCATTCCAATATTACACTCGATGAGAGTTCTATGGCCCATCTTATTCCAATATTATTTTGTGCAATGGCGAGAACTACTTACTGCATTGGTCTTCTGTTGAATTCGGTTCAGTTTGACCCTTTAACTTTGTTGAGCATTAGAGAATTGGTGTATAATTTAACATTTGAGTGGAGTGCTTGACTAAGGTGTACAATTTACTAGAGTAATAGATAAAGAGTGGTGGATTAAGGTGTAATATACATACACACACATATCTTAAGTAAGTTTCTCGCTTCATATCTTTTCTTGATACACATATATCGCGAGGATGTTTCTCAGCCCGCATCTTTTCTAGATAGATAGACGAGGCTTTGATGCCCTTATTAAGGTTCTCCTTGCCTCCAGCTCAACCTAGAAATTTTGGGCCCTATTCATAGTTAACCATAGCTAGTTTCAGAAATCCCCTGTGGCAATCTATATTTATTTTTTTCCTTTGGGAGTTTGCATGTGTAACTATAGATGCCTACATGTTTTGCCCATTGGTTAGTGGCACTTGTTATTGTTTAACACCCTAAAGGTTTTGCGCTATTCCAAAGTGCATCTCGTCACCTTGGTCAGCAGTAGAATCAGATTGTAGGGTGGAAAGAAGATAAATATATAAATCTATTTAAAAAGAACAAGGGGAAAATTCTAGTCCACACACCATCTTTAACTATTGCAGGACAGGATCCTCAGCACACCTGTGACCATCATGGCCTCTCTATATTCCCCTTATTCTATCCATCTCACTCAATGGTCCATCTTCTCCACATTCATATGCCTGGAGAGTTCATGTTGTTGAAGTAGTCAATCACATACCTTTCATAATCATATTCATACTTGTGATCCTCTACTTTCCACCATCATCAACTGTGCAGTGGACTAACCAATGGAGATCCAACACTTCATATCTAGTTCAAGTGGAGATTACTAATCTAACTTCAAGGTCCTATTGAAACTGATGTTTTATTCTCTGTAAATTTGATGCTGGGTGGTAGAGAATTGACCCACCTTCAAAATCATCCAAATCTCAATACTACATGGATATTTTTTTTCTTTCTTTGTTCTTCATTGCTTTACATGACTCCATTTGGTTGCCAGAGATTTGTAAGGAATTGGATAGCATAGGATTGTAGTCGAGATGGAGGATTGAATATGGCGTTTTGCTTTTCACCCCTTGTTCACTTGGAATCTCACAACTACTTGGTAAAATTTAATTTAATTTTTGAATTTTTCTTCAGCAACCGCTAAGGTTTTGGCTTTAGAGCTCTCAAAGCACTAGAACAAAAAATGCACTTTCCTATATCCTGCTTCAGCAAAAGCTAGCACTGAGATTGGTATGTGCAATGTTTCTGATTTTATGATGGCCCTTTCTTGTCAACTGAGAATTGGTCTGCATATGAATATGTGGATCCTATCCCGTAATGCACAAACAAAATATAATTCAGGTTCTATATTGGATGGGAAGACAGCAAACAGAATCTGCATCATATTAGTGGTTTTGAACACAGTACTGAAACTTAAACACAATAATGATGCCCATAGAGGCCTTAATAAGGTTCAGCATCATTGTTACTGAATTTCATTTATTCTATTTATTTTTTTGAACATATATTTGTTCTATGTATTCATTCTCTCAAGCAGCTGGCTGAAAGATTAATATTGTGGGTGTATCATATGACTTATTATTATCATTAGTTTAGGTCTTCTCCTTTTTGGGTTTTGTCACCTACCCTGACTATGAAGGCTCTCTTCTGCTGGTATTCTGTAAATCCTTGCTTCAATTTTTGTTAAATGGCACTCTTCTGGTCTCATTTGTTAAATTAAATCGTTGACTTTGTTTGAATTGAAAATTATTGATTGTTCATTTCCTTTTAGGTTCACAATGTTCTTCATTTTTATGCAAGTGGCTGATTATACATATGTTACAGAAAGTGGATGCTTTTCTTGTTTTAGTTTGTAGTGTTGACGATTTTTTCCTGTTCTATATTTTAGTGTGACGACTATAGCTTTCTAAATTTCCAAATTGACTTACAATTCTCTAGATCATTTAGCGTCCCATATAATTCTTTGTATATTGTCAGCATGCCCAAATCTAACTTGATCGATAGTCTTATATGCTTTATAGATATTCACTAGGTTGGCAATAACAAATATCCTCCCTTTTATAGGAATTATCAAACTGAAAATAAGCAACTACAAGACATGTATTGACAGAAGTGCCATTGCTGCATGTACGAGTGTCATTGGGACATGCAATCCATGACACAAGGCCTTCACTGGTAATGTAAGAGAAAAATAGTTAATCTATTTGAAAGGTATGATCTTATACATCATGTATATTTTGTGCCCTCATATATGTCAACTGGGTCATGTTTCTTCCACTATACAAATATAAACATATATGTGTAAATACAAGGGGTTGGGAAGCAAATGAATCAAACCTCAGTTCAATTGCAACAAAAAACCACTTCCTGAGATAAGGAGACTTAACAAAAAAGCTGAATTTTTCGATGTATCTTTTCCAACAATTATATACATTGCATCATATTCTTAAGAATTGTACATTTTTTAAGAGTACAAGATATTTATGTTAAAATGCTCATTTTCAGATCACTAGGGCTGACCCTTTTTCAGTGTAAAATGCTCATTTTCAGATCACTCATCCACACCCTAGCTTGCTTGTTTTGTCATAGGATACGTTGTTTTGGTTCTTGGGCTGTTTATAAAATTTCTCCTCTTCAAAAAAATAAAAAATTTATAGCTAGTAGCCCTTGGGTTTAGCTTTAGATGCAGTCTAGTCGCTATAGTTGTGTTTATGGTAATTTAAACCTATGAGTATGTGAGCCACAGAAAGAGATTTGTGGGATTAATATCTGGTCAGAGTGTTGTTGGGCTTTCTGGTTGCTAAGAAATTTTAACTCCTCTTCTGCTTCTATTTTTTACTAAAAGCTTTGTTTGGCAGAAGTGTTGAAGCTAACGGGAATACCATTGTTTGAAAGAACCAAAAGGGGGAATCATTCAGTGATTTGTTTTTGCTTATGAGCAACTCTGCAGGTTGCTGCAGGTTTATTGTCTGTGCATGTGATAGAGAAACTTAAAAATGGTGATACAGGGAGTTTGCCTGTCTCTTTAATTGAGAGGATTCACATCTTGTTGAAAAAGGTATAATCCTCTCTCTAATGTGTAGATTTATTCCTCGTCACACTCACAAATTGCCTACAAAATGGGATAACAATGCTCTGTTGACATTTCTGCTATCTTATCTCAATAATAGTTATGCACGTTTAGTTGTACTAATAAAAAAAGAAAAAAGTTATGCCTTGTTTACTCCTTCGAGATTTGTAACAAATTGATATCATCACAACAGGGTTCATATTTTTCCCTAACATCCCTTCTCCCTCTTTTTCTCTTGTCAAGATTACTTTACTAGTTTCAGTTCGTCTGTGTTTCCTATCTACAGTTGAGTGAGCTGCCTGCTTTTTTGGAATTGGTAGCTCAATATACACAGCATGGTTACAAGTTTGTGTTCTAAGCTTAACTTGCATATGAACTAGATTCAGTTTACTCACCCAAAAAAAAAAGAACTAGATTCAGTTTGTTTATCTAGTTTATTACCCTTTTTTCAAGATTCTCATACATTTTATTTCAGTTATCCACATTATACAAGGCAATGCATTTTCTCTTTAAGTGCTCTCTTCTAATTTCTTTTTATTTTCCTTTTCCTTTTTGTTTCAGTGAAGGAAAAGAGTTGCACTGTTTAATACTTAGTGATCTATACTATCATCTACAAGGAGAGCTTGATGGTCGTAAGATTGATCCTGGACCATTCAAAGAGCTCTGCCAGTATCTGGTCAAATCAAAATTTGTGCAAATGTATCAGCATAAATACAATGGAGACCTTTCTGCACATGCCAAGGATGTCTACTTGTTTGACTCTTCACGTTTCTGAACAGATTTGGAAATTGATTTGTGGGATTATTTTGAGTGGAAAGCATCTAAAGCAGTAGCAGAAACAATGTTGCTCTGCTTGCAGAATGCGAATTCAATGGTGTTGCTTGCAAGTTCTAAGCTTTCTGCATTAAAATCATTGATAACTATAGTATCCATGAATGAGGAAGATGTAAGTTTTCTGAATTCTGATTTCCATTCTTGCAGTTATCATGATTGGACCTTTGGGACCTATAACTAGTTTGCTATTATAAATTTTAAAATTTTGGTGACTGCATCTTGATTCCATCTTGCACTTGAAAAGAAGTATTTGAACCATATTGCAAGGTAGCTTATGGTTTTGGATAGGGTTTTAACCCAAGCCAATAAACTTTTGAGAATCTTTGACTTTATAATTAAAGCATGGAATAAAAGTCATTGCAAAACGCTAAAAACATTACATAAATAAGGAAACAAGAGGCTGAAAGTTGTCACAAAACTCTAAAAACATTAGATAAATGGTAAAACTGCTATAAAGTTAAAAATTCTTGGAAGTTTATTGTCTCGGATTAAAACCCTATCCAAGAAGTGCACCACTGAAACATAAAGGTCATGTTCTTTAGCATACTGATTATAGTTTGAATAAACAGATTTTAATAACTTTGGATGCTGAATTTTCATTCCGCAATGAACTTATTTGATACATTATTGATTCAATTTTTGGGATGAAGATGTGACTCTCTCTCTCTCTCTCTCTCTCTTAAGCTGTCCTTTGGATGGATACTTTAATCTATCTCTTTGATGTGGTTTCTAAAGCATGCCCAGAAGGGCACGAGAGAGAAAGGGATCCTCTTTCTCATATGTATATATATATTGTGTATGCATTCAGGTTTTTGGTCTTGAGTATGACCTGGATCTCTTCAATATTGTTGTTCCAGATTTTAACATGTAAGTCTCAACATATTCAATGCTTCTCATGTATGTCATTTTTCTTAATATTTGATGTGCTTTGTGATTTTTCCCTTTTAAATTAGTAATTATTTCATGCATTTGTTTTAGGGGAGCCATGGAAAGTAAGAGTTTGAATGTATCCTTCATGAAATTTTTTTTGACTCTTTATTACCATCTACTGTGCATTTCACATGATTGAAGTTTGTGTGACTTGGTTGTTGACACAGATTTAATTCCAAGCTTGTTTTGGCATCTTCAGAAATTGCTACAGATGCAGATTATGCTGCAATTTTAGGAGTTATTGGCCATGAGGTTTGTCATTTATCTCATAAGAAGCAAGAAACTTAGATATTTGTTTTTAATTTGTATTAATTTGGGTCTTATTTCTGGTGTATATTGCAGTATTTTCTTGTGCATATTGTTGAACTCCAGAAACACACTGATAAGGCTGCTACCAAAGTTAATGCTGTACTAGCGAGAGATGAAGAACAAGGGCAGATGATCGAATCACTTCACACCTCTGTAAGCATTCCTTAAGGCTTAGACTTGCACACAAGCACTGCTTGGGCTTATATCGTTTCTAATGCCATGTGATATATTTTTCTTTTTTCTTTGTTCTTTTTATATTTTGGTTGTATGACTTTAAAATATCTGGTCATGCATTGAAGATTTTCATTTTAGATTTGTTGACTTTAAAATATCCGATTTTGTCTTTTGTAAGACGAGCAGTCTTTACAAAAATAGTAAGTTTATTCATATGTTTTTAGCGGTATCTGAATTAATTTGTATTTTTATTTTTCAGGTCAGAAATTTCCTGAAGAGATGCAAAATATGGTCAAAGAATTCAAGAATTTAGTTTTTTCAAGTTTTTTTCATTTTTTAACATATGTAATCACAATTAATTTTTTTTAATTAATTTCTTTGTATATACTTTTGAATATTTAACTTTTATTTATGAAATATGATGTTATTCCATTCAATAAATGGTTGTGATTCAAAATATAGTATATAGTGTGTATTACATTCTTCAAATAAACATACAAAAATAATATTGATTATTCTTCAAATATGTCGAATTCTTTTTTTTTTATCACAGGTTTTATTAGTTATTAATCACACTTAAAAGATGTGATTTAAATGTTATTAATCACTTAAAAGATGTGATTTAAATATTTTTATTCACACTTAAAAGATGTGATCTAAATGTTTTTAATCACACTTAAAGGATGTGATGAAATCATTTTTTAATGACACTTAAAAGGTGTGATTAAAAATGCCCCATTTTTATCACACTCCCAAAGATCACACTTTAATAGAACTTAAAAAATGTGATTAAAAAACATGCATCACACAAAAAAAGTGTGATCTTTATCTGTATTTGTAGTAGTGCCGGATCTATTTGTGGATGTTTGAGTATATATTGTATATTTTGTTGTATTGATAAACCTTAGGAGCATTGTGTATGTCTTAAGTTGTAAAACATTGTATATGTTTTATTTTATGGAGGTATTTTTGTATATCCCTTGAAAAATGGAAGTTTATTTTAGCATCGTGTATGTTAAATGTGTTGTAGAAATGCAAATGTATTATTGGCATTGAATATGTTATGGAACTGTGAACCATGTACATTGAAAATTATTGGAATTGAAAAAGATGCATGTTGATAATGCATGTTGGAACATATCTTGTAAACTGCCTCTTAAATAGAGATGGGGTGACTGGTAATGGGTCAGGTTGTGAAATGTTGGTTGGTAACAATGTTAAAATTTGAGACAAACTTGCTTTTGAAAATTTGTGCTTAATTTCAGGGACGAAATTCCTTAAGGGAGGGAGGTTATAGCGATCCCGGTTCTTTCTCCTTTTTGTTGTTGTATCCGGAGTCGATTTCGTGGATGTCGGTTGTGGTTTGTATCTTATTTTCGTCCTTTAATACTTTGTATTTGAGTTATAGGATGTTTTGGATAGGATTGTTTCAGGTTGGATGTGATTGGGAGCAAATGGCTGCTGTCCAGAATTTTGGTTCTTCGCTCGAGCGAGCTCTGTGTTTTAGATCCTTCGCTCAAGCCAGGATTCCTTCGCTCAAGCGAGAGTTGAGTTTTGTGTCTGGTGGCTCGAGCGAGAAGTCCTTCGCTCGAGCTTGCGTCTGCGTCCAGTACTGGACCTGAAGGGTGCAGTTCTTCGCTCGAACGAGCTTTCCTTCGCTCGAGCGAGCATTCTTTCGCTCGAGCATGCTTTTGGGTTGCAGACCTGAAGCTTGGAATTGTTGGCTCGAGCGAGGCTTTCTATGCTCGAGCGAGGGTTTTTTGTGTCTGGTCGCTTGAGCGACCAATCCTTCGCTCGAGCGAGCCTGTGTTATATCAGTAGGCAGCAGCGGGGAACACTTCACTTTTTCATCCCTTTTGATTTCAAAACCCTAGAATTTGGCTCTCTCTCTCTCTCTCTACACTTATCTTCTCTCTAGGGATTGATCTACTTCTAGTGAGTTCCTACCCTAATCTCTTTGTAAGAAAGGTAGAGGGTGTCTTGGGCTTCCTTTTAATCTGAAAATTTGTGGATTTGGAGCACTTTGAGTTTTCATCACCTTCTCCTTTGGGCTTCTAATTTCGAGGTAGGGATACCCTACTCCATCTTATGAGCTTAGTCTTTAATTTTGGTCATTTTGATTAATTGGTGATGTTGGGTAATTTTGAAAAAGTTAGGGTTTGGTTTTGTAATTTATAAAGAGGGGTTTTCAAATGTTTAAACCCATGGGTGTATGAGACCTTGGAAAAATGGTAATATTGTTGTTGAAATGGTGAAATCGAATCTTAGGGTTGATATTGAGAAAATGGGGAAAATGCCCTAATTATTGAAATAAATTAATTAGCATAATTAATTTGGGAAAATATGAAATTGAGTTGACATCCATGAAATTGGGAAATTATGGGATTAAATGGTGTAGTTGAATTAATTTATCACTCACCGAAGTAATTGTTAAGATTATATTTGTTTAATGCATTTATCTTCTGTTTAGAAATAACTGTTTTGGGCTATCGGTGGAGGATAGTCTTGATTGTTGTAGACACAGTATGTTGATTAGGGAAAACTGAAACTAATCACATTGAATATGTCATTGAATATGACGGTTGAATTAATACAGCAAGTGTGTGTATTGATTGATTATTGTGTATAACAAGTGTTAAATACATTGTATATGCATATGGTTTGGGAGGAGATAGGGGATGTACTCCATGGTTTGAGAGGAGATAGGGGATAGACTCTCAAACCTGTTTGGGAGGAGATGGGGGATGGACTCCATGGATACAGCAATTACGTGTATCACTTGAAATGTTAATACAGCAAATGTGTGTATTAAATTGAAATATTGGAAGTGTTTTTGATATGAGTTGTAGACTCATTTGCATTGTGAATAAAGGAAAGTGGAACGTAACATGGACATAATTGTGATCTAATTGTATTGTGATATAACTGGTTTATAAGTGTTAGCCATCTATCAAATGCTATTGTTTTAGTCATTGCTTATATTTGGTTTAGTATATCTCTACTGGGCTTTGGCTCACCCTATATAGGACATCATTTTCAGGTCCAGGTAATATGCTACCTCCAAGGACTTAGCTTGGGAGGATTTGGAGTTGAAGACTCTTTTTGGTTGTTTTGTTATTTTGATATTACATGTAAATTCAAGCCAAGGGCTTAATATGTATTTGAGTTAGTACTCACTTTTTGTATCCAAGTGTTGGCTTGGAAAGGTGTAAGCTCGTAGGGCATTTACTTTGGTTATTAACATGTAATATCTTTTGTAAGAATACTCTGATGAATGGAAGAATGCTTTATTTTCTTATATCAATGCATGTCGAAATTGTTGGGTTTTATGTATTATTTATGAGGGCGTTACAATGTAATTATCGATTTTTTTTTTTTATAGTTATTTTTCATTTAATACAGGTTATTTTCATATTTTTAATAATTTTAATACAGTTTTTTTTTTTTTTTGACGGCAGCACACACACCGTCTCAAAAAGAAAATTGAACCAGGATTTTTTGCGACGGCAACTTTACTGTCGCAAAAGGTAGGGTAATTGGTTGAAAAGTAGGGCCTTTAACGATGGTGTTATTGCCGTCGCCCATAGTCCTTTAGCGACGACATCAATTGCTGTCTCAAATAAACTTTTAGCGATGGTATTTTTGCCGTCGCAAAAAACCCTTTTAGCGACGGCAACACAGTGCCATCTAAAAAAAAACCCAGATTTTCACCCGTTATTTGCGACAGAATTTTTTCGTCGCAAAAAAGGCATTTTACCGTCGTAAACAAAAGGCCGTCGCTAGAACCCTTTTGCAACCCCTTTTGTTGCGACCCCTCACTTCCCGTCGCAAAAAGCCACTTACCGTCGCAAAAAACCTTTTGAGACGGCGTTTGGGGTATTTGCGACGGCGTTTTGCCGTCGCAAAAAAGCAATTTTTTTTGTAGTGAAGAGAGTAAAAATCATAAAGTTGGGTTGACTGGAATAGGTTCGAAGTTTAGGCCCAAGATCAAAACCCCAATCCCCTATCTCCTCCTCTTCCTTTAGGCCAAAAAGGGAGAAAAGTGCCCATAAAAAGTAGGTCAGAAGGGAATGACCATATTGACAGACCAACTAAACTATTGCATATTAGTTATTAATCTAGTTAAAGGATGAAAATTGTTTTAAAGCA